TTTGTTTTTGCCTTCTATATAAGCGTTTTTTCTGTCGAGAAAGTTGTCTTAACTTTTGAGTAAACCATGGCTGATCTGATGAAAATATACGAACTATTTTTGAAGGAACACATTTATCTACTGCATCTATTACACAATTTTCTAATACTATTACCTTCTCATTCACACAAGTTGAATTGTAGAAGAGAATTGCAACAGTATTAAGCAGTTTTACTAATTCATGACGAAAATAGTTCCAGTCGGTAGCAGAGTAGTTATAAATTTTACTTGTCAATGAGCGCGACCGAGTCATGTCAGTTGCAAGCACAACTCTTACAATCTTATGGTCACAATTTTCGCACAAAACGTCCTCAGCTTCTACGTTTTTTATGAAGGTAGCAGAACTAGTGGATACCAAGTCAAGTACTTGTTAGAGAACTACCTCGATTTCGTTCTCTAAACTATATTTCTCGTTGGTAGATACACTCCTTATTTTCTTATAAACGACACGTCAGTGCTCTCTGTTTTTCGTCATGTGTGGTTTTCTTCGTTGTCATCTATATTTCTTTCTTAATACAATACCACCGCCGTCGTTTACTTTGTTTATTCATACAAGATCAAATACATTTCTTTTCTTCTTTTCTTTTATGTATTTTTTTCATTGTCCGTCAACGTATATATACTACTGCAATACAGTCTATAAGCGAGAGTTTTTTACATTCGCACTGTAAGGTGCTGTTCATTAAGATTTGAAATAAAATATTTAAGGAACAGTGCTAACCATCATCAAATACAGGAGCAAGTGAGGAACCCGGTAACACTGGTGCACGAGTCGGGTTTATTGGCGACAAGATCACAATAAGAAAAAGCAAAAAGAAGATCCTGCGGTTATTGAAAATTATCCCACATAGAAGAATTGTGGTTTTTTCAGATTATCAAAATACGGCGCTGTACGGTGGTTTGCATCTGATTTAAGTTATCAACGAACAATTGACCAAGATAACATCGAAACTTATTGCTGTAAAATTTTTAAGAAGTAATATATTAGTTGTTTGAGAATTTCAAAACCCGGGATGTTGGTTCCGTATTTCAAAGTTAAATTAGGTTAACAAGAGAAAATGGCAAGTGGGGGTGACAGAAAGGTTAAATTGTTAAACAGAAATGATGATAAAACTTTAACACAAGAAATGTTAACTAGTAAAGTTAAATCGTTTCCACGAGATGAATATCAAATTGTAGATTGGTTAGGTGACTTATCAACATTGTTTGAAATATTTGGTATTGAGCAAAATAAATGGGTGAAAGAGATACGTGATTATATCGGTGATGGCGATTTAAAACAATGGTATGATAATACAGGCCAACATCTTGATTCATGGGCAAATTTTAAACTGGAAGTAATAGACCATTATCAACCAAAACAAGACAATAATTTACAAAACAAATCAGCAACTAGTTCTGAACGTGATGATTTAACGTTGGAAGAATTAGTTAAACAACTTCCAAAATTTGATGGTCGAGGTGATGCAAGGGTATGGCTATTACAATTAGACGATAAATTTCAAGATTTGGATTTATCAACGTCGATTAGACGAGAGATATGTCCGTATGTAGTTAGAGGTGAAGTTTCATTATGGTTTTTGGAAAATAGTGGTATAATTACTGATTGGGAATCATTTGCTCGAGAATTTATTAAAACATATTGTCCGACAATAGCAGCAACAACAGAAGAAAAACAAATCGATCAAATATATTTAAATTCAGTGAGCCAACCAAAAATGTCTTTTAAATCCCATTCACAAGATTTTCGAAAAACATTCACTCGTTACACATCACCGACAACACCAAGTCAACAACAAAAGGAGCAAGAAAAAACAACAAATAAATCAGCTGTTGAGTTTAAGAAAGTAATGAATGATGTCAAAACGTTTTCGGGGATTTTAGATAAACAAGCATCCGAATGGTGGAATGATATTATTTATTTCTTTGATATAATTGATATTAATGATGAAGGAAAATTCCGTTTTATTAGATCAGAATTAGTTGGTGAAGCCCGTCGATGGTATCAACAAAATCAAACCACCATTACAGATTGGTCCTCATTTCAACGTGATTTTAGACAGAAGTATTTATCATCATCAGATATTGATAATTATATAAAAATCGAACAATTAAAACAATATAAACAAACAAAAAATCAAACGTTAAAACAATATTATAGTGAATTAATGAAATTATGTGACGAAATTAATCCAACAATGTCTGATGCGGAGCGAATGTAGTGGTTAAGAGGCGGCGTCAAACAAGAATTAATCAGAACGGCATTGCTGAAAAAATCTGAATCGCTGCAACAATTATTTGATGAATTACATCGTGAAGAACAGATATTAACAATTGAATTGAGTAGAATTAATAGTGAAGAACAAATAATATCGTCTGTGAGTAGTGGTAGTCCTCACATACAAACAAAAGACAATCAGTCACCTGGTTGTCAAAGAAGCCAAACAACGGACTTTTATCAAACACAATTTCCACGTTTCGGTACAAATCAATTTTCTTATCCATCATATTTTTCTCAACCATATCGACAACCATTTTCACACGAACCACCATTTCAAGTTCAACAACGACGAGTAGCTCCTGTTCAACAAAAGCAAACACGATTCGACCAATCGAGACAACAAGAACACGTACAAACTAAATCACAACAGCAACCAGGTGGCGCAGGTAAATTATGTTATAACTGTAACAGTCCTGGTCACTTGCGTCGGGACTGTCCACGTTTAAACGGTTAATGGAGCCATCGGATGGTGATGACTCCAAAAACAAAATATCAAATCCATCGTTAATATTTATCACAACACAAGTTAATAATCGATCAATGCGGGTTATGGTGGATACGGGGTCATCGGGCAGTTTCATTAGTACATCAGCATTATTAAAAGTAGGATATTATCAGCGATTCACCAAGGTAAAGGAGTATTGGCTAGCGGATGGTATCACTCCCCTTGAAGTTTTAGGTATGGTGGAATTAAGGGTTAAAATCTCTGGTATCACAACGACAATTCAAGCATCGATCACAAAAACATTAGCTGCCGAATGTATTTTAGGAAATGACTGGATAGACCAGTTTAATTATTTGACTATTGACAAAATAAATAAAAAATTTACAGTTTATTATCGTCATCAAAAGGCATCGGTTCCAATTCATCAAGCTGAAGACAAGGTAGATTTTTCAGTCAAGTTGATAGATAATGTCAAAATAAAACCGTGGGCTGAAGTTACAGTCAAAGTCCGTGTACCAATTTCATCGTGTGAATCAGTTTTATTTGAACCAAGATTAAAATTTCAATATCATAATTTTGTCAATGTACAAAAATCAATGTTAAAAGTTAAGAATTATGTAGCGTTAATCAAGGTTTACAATTCATCGGATAAAACATGTTTTTTAAAACAGGATACCTTTTTAGGTACTGTTAGAATTTTATCATCAACAATACATGTATCAAATATCAATCACAGAGTTGAATTTGAACGGAAGTATTTGCGACTCCATCAAAGTTCTCCGACGTCACAAGATAGTATTAACCCAGAAATATCCGACATAATTGAAAAATCCACCAGTCATATTCAAGATAAGCAACAACAACAACAGGTCCGTACAATTCTGCATAGCCATCATCAATTGTTTGATATGTCGAAACCCAAGATAGCTCCAACAACAGTTCCACCTACCATCCGGACTGGTGATCATCACCCTGTCAATTCAAAACCTTACAAAACAACACCACAACTGCAAGAAGAAATGTCACAAATTATTACAAAAATGTTAGCTGCTGGTCAAATTCGTCATTCGACATCCTCTTGGTCTTCACCTGTCGTATTAATACAAAAACTTGACGGAAGTTCTAGATTTGTGGTTGATTATCGTAAACTGAACAACATTACTGACAAAGATTGTTATCCAATGCCAGATATTGAAGATACGATTAGAAAACTAGCTAGGCACAAATACTATACAAAACTAGACCTCAAGTCAGGCTATTTTCAAATACCCTTACAAGAGGAAGACAAACACAAAAGTGCATTTATTACACGGCATGGCTTATTTGAGTTTAATGTATTAGCCCAGGGGTTAAAAAATGGACCCCCGGCATTTTAGAGGGTAATGAATAATTTAATGGTTAATGACCATCAAGACTATTGTATTATTTATCTGGATGACATTTTAATTTTTTCAAAGACCTATGAAGAACATATGGTGCATTTAAACAGAATATTATCTATTTTGAATAAATAAAGTAAAATTCGACAATTCCAGAATCATAATCATTTATAAATATACATAGATTTGTGAATATGATTAGAGACTGTGTCGACAATATGTGTCTCGAGCCGTCCTGAGCGCTTGAAATTGTTTCCGATGGTTGAGATGATCAGCATCTGATGCAGAGCGATATTCTCCGATGCTAAGAAAGAAAACAGTCGCCTTTTCCGCCTTGCAAGTTATTCATCCTACTCAATCGCCTACATCGAAAGTGTTTACTTGTTCCGTGCATCATGTTCCGAAGAGTAAGTCGGTAAAACATGGTGCACTTAAGTGCCAAACCGGATTCTGAAAAAGTATCCTTTCTCCCTGAAATACAAACATCTGATATTTTAGGTGATATCTTGATTTGTGCATCTATAGTACTGTCAAAAATTATAAGAGCATCCGATATGTTGAAGCTTTTGACGTTCTGGCATATTCTGAACTGCATTCTCGAACAAGCTTCAACATGAAATATTTATTTCATATTATGCCGTCAAAATTCCCTAAAATTGCTTGATTTTCATTTTAAAAAGGGTTGTATTAAAAAACAGCGACTTTTTCATGTGAAAAACTAAAAGACTATTAAATGTTTTGGTTAGTGTTCTTAGCCAAAACGGTCACGTATGTTTCAAATAATCATGTACAAGCCCAGGAACCTAAAGCTTTTTTAAAATTTTTATTTCGGTTTTTTTGGGATTCGTTACCAATAAGAATTTCTCACTTCATCTGAAAAACTTGAATTTCACTAAATCATACATTACTCGGAAAGGAGCCACCATGAGCACAAATCCTTTTAGGGTTTTAAATAGGACACTTTCCTCGATCAACTGGCATAAGATCATTAAAAATGGAGTTTGACGCCCGGGAAGGTTCCCTCCTTAGTATGGCTCTTGTTGTTGTTCTTGCGGTAATATTGACAGAAAATGTGTTTTTTGTAATTAATATAATTTTTAATTAGTACCATCTCCATCATGTTGATACTAAACTTGGTTTAACACCGATGAGGATAACCAACGAATCTTTTCACTGATTATATGTTTAATGCTATACTGTGGTTTTGATAACATCCAAAAGACATCCATTTCGACAGATTTACAACAACAAAACTCTTGAAAGTAGACCGAGCCACAAATAGTTTTTTCTCAAAGATCGGATAAAATTAGAACGCGACACTTACTGAATATCGGAGGCGATGAAAAGACGCCATCTTCTGTTGAAAATGTCACTGGTGAAGATGACTACCTTTGAGTGTGTGGTAAATACTACCTAGGTATGCATCAGTATCAGTATTTTACTGAAATACTAATATTGATCAATACTGAATACCCACAATACGGACGTTTCGCTGCGTTTTATTCAACCTCAAGGCTGAAGACTGAAGAGAGTGTGATACCTGTAAAAACAAGCATAACAATAGATAGGAAGAGGAAACTAGTCACTATAATCTGAAGTTGATATAAACTTTATTTATTTAGAAGAAATGTTGAAAAAATCAGTAGAAATTATGAGAAGAAGGAGGCAAACCCATTACATCTTAACATAAATTGACTGAGGACAGAGGATAGCACTAGAATACATATATAGAAACAATACACGGCGACAACATTTAAGAGAGAAAATAATGACAACAACAAAAATAATAATAAGGAAAAAAGAAACAGAGAATAACTCATGAACGAAAGGGAGAGAAGGATATCGGGAAATTAGAATCTTTGTGTGTCGCGAATAAATGTAATTACGATATTATATAGTTCATTCATTTCTGTAACGTTTAAAGATGGTGCAGGTTTTAAAAAGAGTATGTGTTCAAGAGTGAGGGT